TTCTGTTTGATTATATTTTTCCACTTTGAACAGAATGATTTTGGCTGGGTGTTGCTTGGGGAAGAGACACAAATCTAAATTTTGAGAGGCCTTTTTTGACAAAATCCACTTTTACTAGAAAAACAAATCGATGCTGGCAGAGCACCTGGAAGAAGCTGCTTCCTCCAGCTGCAAAACTAAAGACCTGCATGCTGTCAAATAATTTATTTCAGAGAGATTACATTATTACTAAAGATGGTAGGCAATGATTTAACCTTATTATTTTTGGCTACATTTCAACTGACAGTTAAATCTACAGTGGATTGCTTAGTAACAAGGCAGATAAAAATGGAAAGGCATAGTGGATTAGCCCAATTTAAGAAGCAAGACTGACATACATTGAATCAGGTTTGTAAAAACTACTTTCATTCACTATTACAAAATAGACATCTGTTTTGTATGGCAATTCTACTTCTAGCAATCTCTTCTGAAGTAGAAAAGATCTGTCAATAGCTCAGGTATTTGACCTAAAAACTCAAAATATGTTAATTAATATATTTAAATCAATTTAACTTTTATAAAATCATAATCTTTTAAAATAACATCAAATATTAAAAACATCAATACATATATTTTATGCTTCCTCCAAACTAGCTGTCTTATACCAAACACACTGCTAAGAGATATAGATTATTAAGTAAAAGTCTTAAAAATACCTGAAATTAATAAAGGTAGCAACAATTTTAAAACAAAAATGTTTAATATGGGATGCCATAAGAATAAAAATCTAGCAATTTAGGTTCATGCTGAATGATAAACAAAACATGGATGGAGTAAACAACTAGTACTAATCTCAGCCCTTCACACAGTGTGATTTCATCCACTGACTCTTTCAACACTTCTAATGAGAAATGAATCATAATTTGGGAGACTGAAGAAAATATTTGAATATTAAAAAATCAAAATCCACATACCTGTCTATCTGTATAGCCTTTCAAGAATTTTTATCCTCTTTTCTGACTGCTTTTCTATACATTTTCTATCTTAGTCTGAGAAGTTAGTTTAGACCCATTGCTTTTGCAAAACGTGATTTTTATTGCTATTTACATATGTAGGGATATTATCAATAACATGAAGTTTTCATAGGTAGGAGAAAATGTATTCCATAAAAAAATTCACAATCAATACAAAATCATCTTGAGCAAATTGTTGCTAACACTAAACTGTCAAAGTGATTCTGAAATTAAATCATGGGGCAATGGGCATATTCCAAAGATTAATTTATTTCTGTGGTGTTTTCCTTTCAAAATACTCAAAGCACAGTTCATTGATCTCATTTAAGTTTAGATTTTGTTATAGCAGGACTAACTGTCAATCACATTCAACTTAAGAAAGAAAACTTCAGGCTATTATACCAAGTACCAGAGCTGTAATCAAAATATGCAAAAAACACTCAAAAGACAATTCCATCCGCATGACCGTACTTTTGTTCCTCATGGCCATTTTTCAAAAGGTCCAGTAATAATATAGTACAGTATGGGAGAATTGTTCCAATAGAAGCATTCAAGTCTGAGCATCATCATCTCATTCACAGTTACACCAGCTTTACAGTGTGTGCTGCACAGCACTGAGTTGCATCCCTGGATAAAAGAATGGCAGCAGGCGGGTTGCTTTCACAAAACACCCCATCTGAGGTGCACTCCATGTCCGTTTTACTTCCCTTTTCATCTCAGGAAAGATGAAGCTAGAAACAGGCTGCAAGAGCTGTATAGGCTTTTTTCACAGAGAATGTCAAGTATACAGTGATCCCAAAGCTCTATGCTACAGTACTGTTTGAGAATTCCTAAGTGTAAAAATGCATATGCACTTTCAAGTGCCAAAGTTTAGAGAAACGTAGAAGGTAAAAACAGACCAAGCGTGAAACACATGCAGTATTATTTAAAGGCTATTAAGTTAAAATTGTAACACCACCCTGGCAGGATCTCTTTATACTGAATTTCTTCTCAGACAATGATTAATGTTCACTTTGATTACTCAACATTTCAGCATGTAATATTTTTATTTCAACATTCTTGTAATGGTAATAACGAACATCTCACATCTGCTGCTTTTCTTTTACACTGACTGCATGTGACTAATTGTGGGCTGAGAACCCAGTAAACATAACCTGGCCTGCTAAAATGAGTGGAAAACAAAACATCCTTACCCAACTCTGGAAAAGCTCCATTTAGAAGACAACCTTTCTTTCTAGACAGTCCAGCTGTTATAAAATCCTTTTGTTTGTTTTCCAAAACAAAACACATGTATGAAATATCTCTAGTTACATAACTTAATACAAGCATTTGCATGGGCTTATTCTGAAAAGTGAGGGTATACTCCCAAAACAGCATCCCTCTGCTGTCAACTGACTGGCTGTGTTCTACAATAGTACTACTATTTAATGACTTTTTTTCAGAAAATGTATTATACAATTTTCCAGAGTCACTGATGAATGCATTCTAAACACAAAAAAATTGGTGTATAAACTCCTACTGGAGCTTGATGACACAATGAAACTAAACTTTGCCTAGAGTACAGGAACACAAATATTTGTCTTTATGTCAACTTTTAAAACCACTACTCTTGAAATAACATTGCAAGGGGACCTCTATTTTGATGAAACTGCACCATAGAATCCTCACATCATTGACATGAAATAAAAATAAATATTTATAGGCTAATACACATCTTCTGTGGTAATTAATTTTTTTAGCATTTTGCTGTCATAAACTTAGATTTGAAATCTACCATTACGAGGAAGTGGAAGACAAAAGGAAATCCTTCAAAACCTCTCTGATGCTGCATTATTTCTGCATTATATGCATAAAGGGACACAGAGGTTAGATAATGTACCACTGAACTGACTGCAGCACTGACAATGCACTGGGATGGAAGCACAGTGTGTCTATTTAATCCACTGATTTCTCAATCATTCTGTTGGATAAGCACAGCCTCACCTTTAGCACATGAACTGAGTTAAAAATATGTGTATCTCAGCCATATTTACAGACTTCTGTACACCTACTCCAGACCAGACCATGAGAGGCCAGAAGGATCACTTCTACCTATAGGACTATTTATAACACAGTACTCCTATATGATAAAATAGGACATAAGCAATGAGGTTAAAACTGGAGGTAATGTTTTTATTACACTAGCAAGAACACAGGGAGAGATTGTAATGGATCAAGTATACAGTATTTAAAAAATAAAAAGCTGCTCATCCAGTATCATCTATATCAACTTATCTACCTCACCTACTTAAATTTCAAAATTGTGGAGACTACCATCTGTTTTATATCTATGTGCAGGCTAGGCTTAGACCTAAAGACTGACTGAACCTTCACACTGGTAAGGAAAAATAAATACTAAATGACAGTATCATCTAACATGTAGTAAGATGTCAGCACACTTTTATCTCATACAAAAAAAAAAAAAGAAAACATAGCCAGGAGATTACTGTGAATCAAAATAAGAACACTTTCAAGATTCCTAAATTAAAGTCATATTGTCACTGAAAGGAATTATTTTTTTGCTACACCAAAGAGTCCAAAATTCACGTGTAAGGCCTCAGATATCCTGGTGTAAGCATTAGAAATTTGTAATTGTTTTCTTTAAAGGAAAATTAGGATTCTAGATCAAATCCCTATAATTAAAAACTCAAGGTAGTAAGAAAAACATTTTCTAACATAAGATTTAGGATAAAAGCATAAGAACTGTCAGGGTTTAGGAAGCACTAGTTATATCTGATGTTTTTATTTTATCAAGAAGAAACTATCCATTGAGAGGATACTTGATGTTCAATCCAACAGCCAGTCACTCCTGGAAAATAATTCTGTTTTCTAAACTTCAGATGTAGTTTGTGATTACAGTAAAAAAACAAACAAAAACTTCTATACAGCAAATGGTAACTAAAAATCTTTAAATAATAGGAAATACCCCAAATGTATTTTGTTTAAGAAGCTTTAGGGAATTTTTTTCTTTATAAGTAACAAACACAGAGGTTTTCCAACTCATCACTTTAATCTATTACTATAGTTCTCTTGAAGCACTGGATATTATCTAGTAATGAAAAAATTTGTTTGTGTAAGGCTATAGTGTCAGTAAGACACAATACAGTAGCTCCTCTCACATTACTGAATTGCATGCTGTTTCTGAGAAAAAAGGCCCACATTTTTTTCTGCTAGAGAGGATTCAGTTGTTAATGCTGGCAGAACATTCTCCTACTGAAAGTTTTAAGAAAGGATGCTACACAAATTAATTTGTTTTCAGTATTATGAAGTCCCTCCATCTCACAAGTTTCACATCTGCACTGTACCAATGCAGTCCTATGATTTCTGGACTTCAGAATGAGCAGCACAAAATCTTTCATCCAAAAAAGTCTGGGTAAACTAACAGTAATATTTTAAATTTATTATTCTGTCTTCAAATAACTATGAGAGAAAAGAAAGGAGGGTTTAGGACTACAGCAGTAAGATTTGATTATGATCTGAAAACTCAAAAAATGCTGTTGCAAGGAAAGATATACAAAAATTATTTAAATTATTACATTTTCTTTCTGTGTATGTTACATCTAGGTTGTCTAGGTACCTGGAACATAAAGCATACCCTTAATGGTCAACTGGACCAACTTAAAATACCTATCTTACCCCCAAGGGGGACAAGCAACACTTTTTTGCTTACTCAAAATCCTGCCACGGTGTCTGTTGCAGACAGACTTAACCTGGAGCTCTGTTACATTGTGGAACACTCTTACACTGTGCTACTCCAGGGATTAGTGGTTTACACTGCTTAGGATTTGCTACTATTTTGCTTTTATATCATATAATATACTAAAATTGTTGTAGATTGCAGTCTGCAATATATATTTTAGCCAAAACAAATAAATATTGATTTCTGTTATCATACAGTATTTTGTTTTCCAGGAGCTGGAATGGACTGGAACAATGAAAGATTAATTTAGTTCTTTCTTTAATTCTTACCTGAGATGAGTATGTGTGACCATCTGATCCACAAACAGGATTGGTATAAACTACTGGACACTGCTTGCAGTTTGATGAAATGGGACCACCCCTCCACTGTTTATGGCCTAAACCAGCCTCTTTCATACTGTAAGTAAACAAAAAGTATGTAATTCTGATAAGCAGTAGTAAAAATAGAACATATTTCAGGGTATTTCAATGAGCCTTTACAAACAGTAAGCCATAAGTAACTTAAAACACAAAGTTTTCTTCTAAGTGAAGAGCTGCCAATGTCTTTGGTATACACTTGCTTACCTTTGTACATTACTCATCGTAGTGATTTCACTTTCTAACTTAGTAGAAAAAGGTGATTAAGATGATGCTTTGGTGAATGTTACACTTATTGATGAGTGAAAGATGTCTGACTTATGTGGCATTTACTCTTCTTTTTGTTATTAAATAGTATGACTAGAACTGTTGTATCAATACTGGTGTTTAAGGAGGCAATATTTAAGTTTCAGAAAACTATATAATAAATACTTCTAATAAATACTGTAAATAAAATACTATAGGTAGGTGGTCCTTCAGAGTACTCTCTGTCTCACTTTGAACACTGCCTTTCACAGATTACAACTTGTAAAATTCAGTCAACACTCAAAGTTCAAAGGGGGAAAAAAAAGCTAATCCACTAGGGCACAGATCAATCTACATATGTGTATGCTGATACAAACAGATATTTAGAGCTAGATGGATCATTTTAACCCAGCTATACTGGGTACGACTAGAAGTCTAAAATAAGTTATGATGCTTCTTCAGAATACTTTGCTAGCCTTCAGTTTGTGGCACATGGCCATCTTCAGACAGACACGCTTTTTCTCTGTAGCTTTGAATTATTTTTTATTCATTAATTTTTCCAATTGTTTTTTTCAACTATGAAAGTATTTAGTAGCCACTGTATCCTGAAACAGCTGTTTTATGAGAGTTGCCCAGTTCACAGACTGACCAAAGAATATGTTTTACACATTAACTTCTTGCATATAAACAAAAAAAATTAAACAATAACACGTGATTTTTATATTGTGTTTTCTGCTTAGGATCTTAGTGAGGAATCTAAAATTGATTACACTTAGAACACAGCAATGACTTATCAGGATACACACAAATGTTCAAACCTATAAAAAACTCAAATCAAATATTCTTGAATGAAGCAGAACTCTTTCAGGTTGGTTAACCTACAGATAATCTAGAACTATTTTGCTAGTAATGAATCACTGTTTGAGAAGAACTTGTCTGGAGTAATAAAAATAAATGTGAGAAAATAAACTTCTCATTCTCTGGTTCTATATTGGGCAGCATAAAAGGCTAAAAGCACACACCTAACAGTAAAGTGGTGATGACAGAAAACAAAAGCCCATTTTCAAGCTATGCTAATATTCTTATGCTGTGCATAATTTCAGCTGTAAATGTGGTCTTTTAGAAGGAAAAAAAAAATCACAGAAGTTATGGAAGTTTACATTCAGACTATGCCGGTGTGGTGAAATTTTGAACTGCACAGATATTTTAGAGTGTCAACAGGAGCCTGAAACACTGTACACAGAAGCTGTCTGTTACTGGTGGAAAAGTCAGTCATAGCTTCAGTTATGTGTAGCATAATGAGTGGTAAAATATGAATACAGGAAGTTTTTATGTCCACTAGGAAGTATTAAAAAAGGAAACAATTCAAACATACCACCCTAATTAAGAATAAAGAGCAATCCTTTCTGCTGAGTTGCATAATTTGAAGACTAAGAAAAATCATCTTATTTCTATTATATTAAGAAAAAGCAAAGTTGAACTGTATATTATGCATAATATACAGTAATAATCTGACTACTGCTGTTCCTCTCACTTGACTGAGAGTTTTCCAATCATTCACATGAGTTCCAGCATCATTAGATTATATAGATGGCTGCATCTTTCTCTTACTTCTTGTTACTTTTATGGCTAACAATTATCCAGAAATGCCCCAGACTACTGACAGGACCAGTGTCCCAACTATTAACATGATGCAATTTCTGTTTATCAGAGATAGAGTAACTTTAAAATGCTGCACAAATCCATTTCAAAAGTTCCAGACATCAGAGAGAAGCTCACTGATATCAGTGAAAAACAGAAACTGGAAGCAGAATTTGAGAGACACATGGTGGTCTCTCATGCCTAAAACATGTCAAAGAAAGGACTAGTGGTGCTTTAGTATCTGTGCTCTCTTGTGCATGTCCTCGACGTAGAAAGACAAAAAAAGGCAGAGAAAGGTAAACAAAAAGCCCCTTTGGATGGAGATAAGTAAAATCACCTGAAAGAAAAGAGAATGATGTGTCTCAAAGGATTGAAAGGAGAATGGAAACTAGAATAAGCTCAGAACACAGAAATCACAGGTCTGTGAAGAGTGAAGAAGTATGAAAAAACCAGAAAATATCTGATGTAGTCAGATAGATTACCTTCCCTCAACTAACCTCTGCTTTGTTGGGCTTTTAAATGCAGTGTCCCAGGGTACTCATTTAAGATGAAGAACATTATGTTTCCTGTTTTACACAGAAGTCCCCTGAGACCTTCAGCAGATGACTGTTATCAAAAACTGGGTTTCTACATAACTAACAATATTTTTGTAAAAAACCTATATTTGTATTTTTCCAAACTTGAAATGGAATGTACAATGATAAACAAATTATAAAAAATGATACTTTGAAGGTATCAATCCAGAGATACCTTATCATGGAAACGGTCTGTATAGATATCTATTCAGAAGCTTTAGTACAATGATGCCAAAACTAGATTCTGTGTTATCAAAGATGGTGAATAGTTATTTTTGATTGTCAGTCACTGAGATGATTGGAAAATATGAAAAGTCAATTAAAAGTATTTTTAATGCTAGCTATGGTAGATACGTGCATTTCATAAAATACATGAAAAATGCATTTTACTTATGTACTAAAACATTTCCTTTCACCATTACTTTAACTGCATCAGATTGTTTCTGTTGACTATTTCGTTGTAACCAGGTGTTGTGGTTATTTTTTTTACAGCTAGGCAATGAGCCAGCATACAAACTATTGACATGGAAATAACTGAGAAACTACTGTGATGACATAAATCGTGTTGAATTAAGATCACAATATCATGAAGTAAGTACATTACTTAACCCCAATATGAATAACTGGTTATCATTAATGTGAGATATGCAGATAAAGCAATATATTTTTACATTTTAAAATGTTAGACAAGAAAAAAAATTAGCAAACAAAGAAGTTGGTTGCTTCACTTTAATAAATCGCTTCCTTGTATTTATTATAATTCAACATGCAAGAAAAAATCCAGATCACTGCAACTTGTAGCTAATGAAATTTTTCCATTTAATTTTGTGATTCCGCTTCAAACACTATAAACGCTCTGACACTTCGTTAGTACGTTGTCACAATAAATATATGATGCCATGTGACAGTCAACCTCTTCCACTGATAAATTTTCTAAATTTCCTGAAAAGGGCTTTGGTATCTGTAAAATAACAACCACTGAATATGCAAGCTCCACCTTATGTGACCTTGTTGACATCTAAAGGGTAAAATGAAATATATGGGCTTCATTTATCAGCAATGCTTGTGATTGCATTAATTTGCATATACCAAATGTGCATGTCTGCCTAGAAACATAATTAGCCAATCTGCCCAATTACTTTAGCCTATGTACCTGTTTGCATACATAAACTTACCTTCCTGTATACACAGTGATTGTGCCTGCAAATACTTTGAGAATGCTTAACATAACCCATTTATAATTTAGCTTCAAACAACTCTTTGGCAACATGACATATTTAATGATATCTATAAAATGCATGAGTGCCGAATTCACTTGAAAAACGGTATTTCATACCTAGATTTGATAATCTTCAAACACATTTCTTCAAATACCGACTAGTAGACAAACATCTGAGTTACTAAAAACTTATCTTTGAAAGAACTCTTCAAACTCTTCTCTAATAACTACATTTGCATCTTTAGAAGATTTTAGAGTTATTCCAATTTAGAGAGACTGCCTGATTATGTTTTGCCACGGTCTTTGGAGGACAGTCAGTCTGTGTCAGATTAACATAATCAGAAAAAAACACCTGTATTATAAAATCTAACTTGCTTTCTTTAGAGTTGGCTGGATTTCCTTCAAAGTTGCCTTTTCATGTAGAAGCATCCTGGAAGAAAACTACAGTTGTCAATATACTATTGAGATATTTCTTTCAAATGTCAAAAGATACGCCTACTATGTTACTATGAAATGATCTGACATAGTTCCATGCATTTCCTACATATTTAACTAGAAATGATCACATACACAGAGCTGAAGTAGATTTGGCTTAGTAAATACTGGAGATGTGGAAAGCATTCATGTATATCACAGACCTCATTTTCTGTCACAAAAACCACGCATACAGATTTTTCTAAAGACAGAGTGCAAGTTGACTCAATATCTGTAATAGCTCTATCACAAGATCTGTTTAAATTAGCAGATACATAACATTACTTCAACAGAAACACATGAGGCACGAGCATAAACAATATCTAGATAATGAGACAACTAAATAAATTAGTATCTAACATTTTTACCCCAACTTTGAGCAGAACTAACAAATCTGTTTGTATGAACAAAGATAAAGTATTACCAAAGATAACGAACAAGAGTGCATCTTCCCATAGCATATTGGTATTAAATGTTGAATTCCTTGAAATCAGCATAGTCTCACCTAGTGATACTGGAGACATCCTTCATCCTTATTTTTATGGCTTCAGAATACATACTGAACTACCTAGTGGATAATCAGGTCAGAGGAGAGCACAATCCAGGGAGGGTTGTTTGTTTTAATAAGAAAGCCACAGATACATAAGTAATTTCCTGTATGACTTCTGTGAACTTTACACCTTTTATTCCTGCCTACTCCACAAATCCTTTTACTTAGAAGTCTTGAGCCACAGAGGCTGTCAAAACTTTAGACTTGACTGCTAAAGGTAAGACTTGAGCATAAACCATATTCTCACTGCCTCTAAGAAACCCAGACATGCTGATCAATGAAGGACCAAAGTACACTCCATCACCCAACAAGTATCAGCAGTTCAAACCATGAGA